TATCCTCCACATTATTTTACCCAGGCTTCGTGCCCTGGAGACGACACGCCAGCTTCGCATACAGCGTCAAAACACTAGACACTGTTCCAAGTCCTCCCATACAGAGCACGTTCTCGAGACTGAAGGATGCCTACAATGATGAGAAATTGCTTATGAAGTTTTGCCATGGACTAAGTCGGTCCAGCGGTCCCAGCTAGCACAGGATTGTGGGAAATCTGAGCTTTCTGAATGTTTTTTGAGTTCAATACCCATCAGTCCCACACGGCATGAGCTTACAGGAGCCAAAGCCCAAAATACCAAGAGGGGAAAAAGTTCCCTCACCACTAGAGTCTAAAGCAACCAGGGCATAGTTTCCTGAGGTCTTAGCCAGCGTTTGTCTCCTGGCCCTTCTTGGAGAATGAATGTTCCCAGAAACAGTCAGTTATGGGATCTGAACTCTCCACTTCTTCCTCAGCAAATATCCTTCAATTCCCTCCATGTTACACTCGTCCCATACTTATGATGCCCCTTCTGTGGCTTTTGTTGTTTTCTATCCGAGTTCTAACTGAAATGCAAATAAATCTTTACAAACTCTTGAGATCTGAGCTTTGGGATCTGCTACAAAGTCAATTCAATCAAACTTGCCATTCCATGTGCTGGAATCTGCACATGGCTTGGTCTTCGACCCAATCATCAAGTTGCTATCAAGTGAAAAGCCCAGCAATTCCTACTCCAAGTACCATGCACCAGAAAGCTGAAGAACCTGGCATTCTGCAGACACAGCCTGCTTGCAACAGTGTGGTCCCATGACAACAGAACTGCAGAAGCCATCATGTTTCCACACACACAGCAAAAGCTCCTGCAAATATATACAAATTGCTCCTGAGCACAGAACACTTCGCAGCTACACCACACACTTGGGAACCCTGCCACAGTTGGGCATTATCTGGTATGGGGTCCCAGATGGTAATTCTACAGCAACAGACCCTTCTCACTTGATGAAAAGGACAGAAAGGCATTGGCCTATATGCTTGAGTGCAAGCAACACGGCTGACAACAACGCATAAGCAGGCTCCCACTATAGAGCATGCAGTTAAGAGCTATGCAGGAGCTGCATGCAGATTTGAGGAGTCACAGCAGCAACTGCATGCCTAGACTCCAAGCTCATCAGCAGTCAAACCCTGGCACCTCGAGAGTGCAGATCAGCAATAGTATTTTTAGCATGATTGCGAACTTTTTGCACTTCTAGCCGGCTCCCTGTGGATTCGTACATCTGAGTCATTACAGAAGCTTCCAAACGATGGAAAATCAACAGTGCAGCCTGGAGCTTGGCAGGGCCTGCACCTCACAATCCACGGGCTAGGGTCTCAAGAAAAAAACAACAGGGAATACTGCAGGGGTTGTGCCAAGCACACTGGCTAAGGTGCCAGCTGCTGCATCAATACACATCAATACACAACAAAGGAGCTGCTTGCTGGAAATTTGACTCTTGACCTAGCATCCAGTCTCTGCTTAGTGAAGCAGTCTTTTCAAGATTTCTTCCTGTATTATGTAGTGCACAAGAAATGCCACCTATACAGTACTGTTACTTCCATTTCTCACCATCCCATATTTTTTGCTTTCGAACCTAAACTCCCCTCTCAAAACAGATGGAAAAGCAGATGACCACTGCGCCCTAGAGACTCTTTGGGTCTCATACGCAAAAAAATCAAATCTCCTGTCATTGCTATACCTCTGCAAACTCATTTGCGACGTTTACAACAAGGGTGGGTAGCCCTGTGGTCCTTCATTTATTTAGGATTTCATGATGTCTCAGACCACAAGGCCACAGATACGAGTTCCAAGTTTTACAGAAGAGTTAACGCAACTGCAACATAAGCTACGCAAAACCTGGAAAAGCTCAACGATGCATTGTCACATCCTCTGTCCCCATGAGCCAAATACTTTCAGAGATACAGCAACCCCGTAAGTATCTAGTGATATGTAGGCTGACATGCCATCTGCCCCTTTGTGGACCACCTGGAAGTCCTTGTCATCCATTTAGTTCTAGCAATCTACTATTGAACTAAGCACTGCTGGATACCTCAATGGTTAAGGCATCTGGCTATGGAGCCAGAGGTTGGGAGTTTGTTTTCCCCTCTGTGCTTCTTTGACAGGGCTGGACTCAATGATCCACAGGGGCCCTTCCTGCTCTGCAGTTGTTGTTATTCCATTTTGTTGCCTTTCCCCAATCTTATTTCTAATATGATTTACTGTATTATGTTTAAAACACATCCTTCTCTCAACACATTACAAGTGGCATAAATAACCCTCCTTCATTTTCATTACAAACCTGGGCTTTACATAGTTGTTGGTAACTTGAACTAATTTTAAAGGTTATATAGAGGTCCCTTTTGTCCTAGGACAAAACTGCTTTTTATTTTTCTCTCTGTCTCAAAGGTATTTTGAGCTGGGGGGGGCGCACTTGAAATCTCCTTAGGAAGCAGTGAAGAGATCATTCACTGTGCGTTAAAATGCCACTATTTCTGCATTACAGAAACAGTACTGTTTATTATTACAGAAATAGTATTCAGACAGCAGCCACTGGCTTTCATTTTTTATGTCATGCTGTAAAACAAGAAGGTCTGAGCAACCCTTGCTTAATTTCTAAGACAAGATGTTTGGCCTTCTCTTCTTCCAAGGTTTTTCTTGTTGCATTCAGGTTGTCTGGGAGTTCTTACTAGCACGTCATCTTCTTTTTAATATCTTCTCTCCCTGTCTTGTACTATGCAGTTTTAAAAGACCCTCAGACACACCCATCAGCTAAGCACTACAGCCTTCCTCTACAGGGCCTGCCAAAGCAGTAGCAAACCACAGCTTTACAGACTTATTACCACTGAGCGAGTGCCAGCATTGCCCCACCTTAAGATGTCTGCACTGTGCTGCCTCCCGAAGCCATGGCAAGCGGTGGCAGCCCAGAGGTAAAAGACGTTGCAGTTTATCTACGTTGCAGTAAATGGAGTTAACTGTTCCACTTACAGGGTCTCGCTTAAATTAAAGACTCAGCAGGTCCTTCAGCAGGTTATCAGAAACTTCCTGAGACCATCTGATGGACTGCCTCAGCTTTGTCTGCCAGGCCCATGGCATTAAATGAGAGGATTCCCATGACAACAGAAAGTTAAGATCCGATTAACTGTCTACCTGTAATACTCAAAGCAGTCGGTACCTGTGATTTTAAAAGGCCTACACCAGTTTCTCTGCGGAAACTGGAGGCAAGTTACCATACTAGAGCGAAGCATCCAACAAGATTTCGTTATAGCCAAAGTAAGCACAAAGCAAGAATTCTAGCTGCTTGATCGCCCTGCCAATGTGGTCAAATGGCCAGATTGATGTACAAGGACTCATGAGAGCTGGGTTTGAATCCTCATTCAGCCATGGCAATGGTAAGCTTGCATGTCTTCAGAAGCCTAGATTGCTAAAAATGAGATCTTATTGATAAAACATAAATGCAAATTACCATGCTGAAATTTAGTATCTTTACAACTGATTAACAATTTTTTTCATTGTATGTGCAGTAGATGCACACAGGCTTTCTCTAAAGTCATTCTTCTGAGGGGTCTGCGGAGCCACCCATAATCTAGTTACAATAAGATACGGAGGCCTTAAACATCCACAAGCATTTCAGCAGCACTTGAAAAACTCTAGCAAAACACATACTCACGTATCCTGACGCTCAAACCCACGGTAACTGCCATTTTTAATTACGCAGAAGAATGTAGCTTCTAAGTGAGCAGAATACGCAGCACATACACAATAGTGTCTAGCCACTGTCCTCTGAGGAGTACTTCTTTGATCAAGCTGGATTGTGAAAAGTTGCCTCTGTCGGAAGCACCACAAACCAGCAAACAAGTCAGGAGTACTGAAGATCAACAGTGAGTGGAAGCAGGAGGTGCTAATTATATTCCCCCATGTTCTAGATAAACCTTCGTTCCAAGGAAATAATGGACCTACCCACTATTAGCACAATCATATTCAGCTCCAGCTAGTATCCAAAACAACACAAGAGACAATCAGGTACATCAGCATGCTCATACAAAAAAAACAAAAGCAAAACAAAAACACCAGGCCTTATTTCCTACAGCCTTTGACCAGCGAAGAGCAAGCACTCACTGGCTTAATAGACAAGGTCTGCAAGCACAAGCGCAGGGCTGAGCTTCTCCAAATACAGATACACACAGCTTGTCTTTTGTAGGGAGGATGAAAAATCCTAGGGGTTCAAAAAGAACCCCCCCCCAAAAAAACCTCCTTGATTCCTTACTATCACCACATATTTTATAACAGTCTGCAATATACATCTACTTTGAGGAGTGCCACTTTAAGCCCAGTATCCTACTAAAGCACTATCCCTAACCCACCTTAGACCCACCAGAGCATCACTTAATAAAGTGAGAGTAATACTTCCTCTCCTTGTATTCAACATCACTTTTTTCAGTACATATAAACCTCAGCAACTCATGTGTTTTCATTGCTACCATGTTTCCCCGAAAATAAGACAGGATCTTATATTAATTTTTGCTCCAAAATGCATTAGGGATTATTTTCAAGAGATATTTTAGTTTTTTAATGTACAACAATCTAAATTTATTCAAATACAGTCATGTCATCTTATTCTGGTTGATGCACAGTAGTGGAGGGCGGGGTTTCACTTAACTGGGTCTTATTTTTGAGGTAGGGCTTATATTACGAGCATCCTGAAAAATCGTACTTATTTTCAGGTTAGGTCTTATTTTCGGGGAAACAGGGTAATGTTTGTGTATGTGGTGGGGTATAATTCTAACAGCTTTGCCCCTCCAAAACTCTAATTTTCCCAAGTGACTACAGTAGCCTAAAGGAAACTGACATCTTAAAAAGACACCCCCACCTGAGAAAGACGGTGCTGGGGACCATCAGAATCTACTGTTTTGTTCCCAGTGAGAGAGCTGCAAAAAAAAAAGAGAGAGGCTATCCAGCAACTGTTGCTGTGCGTCAGCAGAGTCACTCACCAGAATGCGTGCTGGGCTGAGCTGCAGCATCTGAATCCTGGGTGCTCCACGGCCTGTCCCACCCTGGCAGGCTGAGAGACTGCAGTCCAAGGCACAGGTCATTGGCATCTGGGAGACCACGCGGAGACTCCTGCGCAGACGGTGGGAAAAGCATTCTGCTTGCTGTTGACAATCCCTCTGAGTCCTGGAAGTCTGCTTAGAGAGGAAGGAAAATTAAAAGCCACCCAGACAAGATGCACAAAATGCACGCACGCACACACACGGAGAGAGAGAGGAGTTCAGGAGTTCCTCAATGAGTCAAGTCCAAGCCAGTTGTGCACAGTGTTCACACAGATCTGGCACAGCGCCGAGAGGTATTCCTTCTGTAGCTAGCTACTAACTACTGACACCCAGGGAGGAGGCAGAGGGAACCACACGGCCTGCAATGAGAGACCCATCGCCACCCTCCACCTTCCTATCCCGCCTGCACTACTGACTGGGCCAGCATGTGATCAGGCTGCTGATGCTTACCGTGCTGCCAGAGACGTCACTCGGCCATGCAACACAACCACATCTTTGCTTACAGGATAAAGGTGGAAACCAAGTCTGCCCATGGGAGTCAAGACAGTGCGCAGGAGAAGGAGAGAAGGTGCGGCCTCAGGCAACCAAGGGAACACATTTAAACTGGGAGCTGTTGCTTAGATAGCAGCAGAGAAGGGAGGTGGCTAGAAGCAGGCGAACCCTCGGCAATCGCTACAGCAGAGAGCAGCGAGACAGAGGAAAAGATCTCCCTCCTCTGTAGGCTCAGTGCGATCGGGCTCTCCTAGCCCCGCCTACCTACCCTCCCACCCTCTCCGCCCACAAACCCAAAAAACCTTTCGACCTGGAACACTGCCAGTTGCTGGCGCAAGCCCTGGGAGCAGCAAAATGTAAAGCTTCGCAATTCTGCTGGCATTGTCTATTTGCTTTAAACTTGGCAACTGCGCTCTCACGGACTCTGCATTGTTTACCACTCTGGACAACCTTCCAAAAATGAATAAGGAAAAAAAAAAGAGAGAGAAGAGGACGAAGAAAAAGAATCTGACTCTGAGCTAGGCAAGAGTATACATGAGAAGGTGTAGTGCTCACACTAGTCATTTAACTGGCATGATGCAAAGAAGGCAGCAGTGCCTAAAATATTTTTTCAGCCTTTCTAAAATACAACCACAAGTATAATCTTATATATGGATAGCCCAGCACTATATATTGCCCTTCCACTCCGAAAATATTGAGAAACAAATGCATATATATATATGGGGCCCAAATGCATCCACATATATATTCTATAGATGGAAAATGTAGCACATTTTCCAATTCCAAAATTCTAGCATAATACAGAAATTCAGGTGGGCCCAGAGAAGTATTTTCTCCCGTCTCATCTGAAGTTTAAAAAGAGGCTAATTACAATATCCTGCTCCCATCCCAACTCCTCACCCCAGATGACATGCTGGACTGTGCCATGTAAGTGTGTATAACAGCTGAGGCACGCACAGAACAAAATATCCCATGCCAACCTCTGGAACTGCTAACAAGTACCAGCTCTAATAGCTTCTGTCCTTGTAGAAACAGTCATTCCAAAATGGGACTATCATGTTAAGGGCCCAGGGTACAAAAAAATGTTTTTGTTTTATTTGCACCATCTGGCATCCAGATTTAAGAGTGGGATACTAGTCAATCACTGTATGACTTACTTTTTATGATTTTTTCTAGGAAAAGTATTACATGAAGCGAGGAATGCCTTTACATCAGAGGAAACCTATTTTTCAACTTTTATCACATGAAAGCAGAGGAAGGAATAAGAAAACTTTCTTTCCTGGTTTCACAGGAGTCTGAACACTCAAGCACCCTCCACCCCATTTGGGCACATTTTATCTTTAGATGCCTTGCCTTTTTTTAAAAGACAAATAATACTTAGTAAATGTCTTAATTGAAGCAGGAATGGACAAGCTGTGGAGAACTATCGGTCACAAAAAGGTGAAAGAACCTGTTTTAAAGAACTTCTTTCTTAACAACTCCACAACACAGACATGCAAAAGAGAGGAGTGGAGGTTCAGACGTCACAAAAACAGCCCTAAGCTATGGGATACCTGATTTCTACTCACGAGTAAACATAGTCTGCAACTGTTAGGCATCTCCCACAGAAGGTAAATAAAAGCCAGACAGAGCACAGATAAATTTCTTCACAGCTCCTGGTTAACTGTCTTGGACAGGCATGAAACACATGAAAGTAGCATTACACTTCTTATGAAATTCTTAAGATAGTGCCTTCCTTTCCTACTGACAGTAAGGATAAACCAGATCTTCTCCAGTAATTAATGCTCTCTGATTCATGTGTGTCTGTGGTCTGTGTGATTATAAACCTGCAACCATGAGGTTAGTGGTAGATTCTGAAGTACAGGGGGCATCATAATTGCCATACCAAAAGGAAGGTGCAAATATACAAGCCACTCAGTTGCTCCATATTTTAAAAAAAGGAATTCTAGCACTTCACATCACCTCCAGAAATAGCTCTTTTGCAAAGCTAATAGGTTTTCATTACCCATTCAGACCAAGCCCTATTTCTTCCCAGCACTATGCAATGTAACAGATGCAGTTCATCAAGATTTTATTAGTTACTCCTGCTGATGTTAACATAACTGGTGCAAATCCTGTTGGCAAATTGCTCTAGGTTAATAAATTAGCATAAGTATTTGCAGCTATCATACTGAGCCATGCATCTGGGAAGTACATTATACCAACTGCATTAGACTGGCATAAAAACTCAATAGGGTTTTTAGCCAGCAAATTATTACAGAGAAAATCCATTCTTTCCCACAGCTGCTGGGAGGATTGCAGCTAATCTCAGAAAGAACAGGGAAGTCTGAGTGGAGTAGCAGATGTCACTTCCCTGTTAAGGAACATATTCTGGTGCTTTAAAGCTAGGATATCCTGGTTCACCATTGTTTACATGCCATCATTCCAACTTTATTTGGGAAGATGAAACACAAAACAGCATTGCTCCTCATGTTCCCTGATGTGCAATTTTGCAGGAGGTGGAAGTGTATCTGAGTGGACCCTCGACTTACAGATGGCTTGACTTACAGACTTTTCAAGTTACAGACTTCTCTGGCCGCTAAATTTAGGTTTGACTTGCAGCCTGAGAATCAACCTACAGACCAGAAAAAAACCAAAATGGAACAAAAACGGCCAGTTACGGGATTAATAGGTTTTCAATGCACTGTAGGTCAATGGAGGCTTGACCTAAAGACTTTTCGACCTGCAGCCACCGTTCCAATACGGATTAATTCCGTAAGTAGAGGGTCCACTGTATGACAATACAGAACTACTGCCCCAATACATGCTGGCATACAGGATATGCCTTGCACATCTTATTAAAACAAAGATCTCTTTACACTGATTTGTGTAATATTTGTGAATTGGTCACATGGACTCTGGACCCTCCCTTTTAGAGGGAAGTACAAATAGGGCAAAGTGGATAAAAATAAACAATTTTCTTTAAACGATTTATTTCTTAAAATCATTATTTAAATTTTTAAAAAATCAATTGTTTTGATTTAAATACCCAAAATCCCATTTTTAACATTTAAATTGTGATTAAAATCACAATGTGAATCAATCTGATTTAAATCAAATCCACCCAGGAACAAGGAGAATCCCCTCCCCAAGAATGACAACTTTAATGCTTTTCAACCTTCCTTTATACATTGCCCAAGCAGCAGAGATGCTTCTTAAATGCAGCAGATATTACTAATTCAATATACAAAACGAGAAATTTAACTCTGGAGGACAGAGCACTTGAAATGTTATCGCTACGTTGGACAGCAATTGTTCCAATTGCACCCAGAGGGGAGCAGTCCCAGAATGTCCTCTGACTGGTTCCCGATCACTTTTTGATCCTCTAAAACAGGCTGCCGAGGGCCGCATGCGGCCCATGTTGGCTCATAATGTGGCCCAGTGCAATTTTTTATTTTTAAGGAAATTCCAAAATTTCAAGTTACACTGCCGACACTTGCAGCCGGAATGCGGCCGGGGCCCGTCACAATGGTAGGGGGGAGAGGGAAGGAAGGAAGGAGTGGGAGGGGAGAGGGGGGCTGTGTGACTGCATTGTGCCATCCCTGTTTATAGGTGGACCCCCTCCTGGCCCCATAAAGCCACCGGAGATGAAGCTGGCAGCCCCTGCTGTCCGAGATTGCCACTTCCGGTAAGCGCACTTGGAGCGGGGCTGCAGAGGATGGCTAGGGCTGCCCCCCCATGCAGTCCAAACCAAATTTTCATCTTCTAATGTGGCCCAGGGAAGGTGAAAGGTTGGACACCCCTGCTCTAAAATGTTTTATCTGGGCTTCTCTCAGGAAGTCCTCTGACTGGTTCCCGATCACTTTTTGATCCTCTAAATTAAATGTTTTATCCTGGGCTTCTCTCAGGAACTGGCAAGTAACGCATACCTTGTACTGGCCTGATTAACGTCCATTGTGAGCTAGAAAGTTGATGGAAGCCAAGTCCGAGACTGACACTGGCAACTGATTCAAGACTGAACAATGGACAGGGTGACCTGGTGTTTGCTGCAATTCCATGCAAGCATGGAGGAAATCTCACAGGAGACAACACAGCACGCAGAGCTTGAGCTTCCAAAGAATTGCAGCAAGCAGTAAGAAACAGTGTTATGGTTGCTAAGATATGCTTGAATGTGTGGGCATATCTGTGAAGTCTCAGAACTGGAGGGGGGGGAGGGCTTCTGAATAACATTTCTGGGAATCCTGACGAAGATGAAAAGAATTTGATTGCTGCCACTTCCAATGACAGCAGAATTATGCCAACTGCAAAGAATGAACTCATGCTAACTTGAATAATATGCATTATGTATCTCACAGGACAGAATCCTGTTCACTTATGCAATCATATAAAAGTGATCACGTAAGCTCATCTTTGCAAATGCTTCAAAATCAAGCATGGTGCGAATTGCACAACCAATCACACAATTTGCCACGCAACTGCCTATACTGTATGTCTATGATTATTCTCCAACTGGATTCTGGGCACAAAATTCTGATTTTTTTTACACATAAAGCTCTTGATTATAACCACAAGCCATGCTCCATTTCAGCAGCCTCAAAACACAACACTCTGCATGTCTTACTCAGAAGGCCCACTTCCAGGTTAAGTGTGCTATAAGCTGCTTTTGAGGCAAGTTCTTTGTACACACCTTCAGGCACACTTTGGAAGAGGAGCCTTCTCTGCCCATTCTTAAAACTTCACACGGCAGATCTGTTCCAAAATAACGGCAACCCCAACTAAGGCCCAGGGGCACATTCATTCAGCACAGTGCCCTCTGACAGGACAATCTTTCTTTAGTCCCAAACCCCATTATATACTAATTCTGTTCTCAGGAAAAAAACTTTTAAAAATTATTTTTCTCCTATCTAGCTGTTCAAGAGCTTAGAAAATTAATTCAGTTATACTAGGGTTGTCCATTTGAGCTGTATCATGTTTCACTGTGTGATGTGTCTGAGGCTTCCTCTCCCCAATCAGAGGACTAGTCAAATTGGCTTTTCTCTTGAGATCTTATGAGCACCTGAATATACACTGGTGCCTCACAAGACGAAAGTACAGTGGTGCCTCACTTAACGAGTGCACCGTTGAATGACGAATCCGCATACCGAGGAGGTTTTTGCGATCGCAAACGCGATCGCATACCAATGGCCCCTATGGGCGAAAATCACTCTGCGATGATTGGTAAGCATTTC